CTTTCACAGTCCTTTACATTCCTTCCTAAGTGGTTTACAGAGTCAGCATATTGCCCCCAACAATCTGGGTCCTCATTTTATCTACCACAGAAGGATGGAAGGCTGAATCAACCTTGCACCAGTAAGAATAGAACTGCTGGTAGTCAGCAGAATTAGCCTGCAATGCTGCATTCTAACTATGCCATCATGACTCTCGGGAGATACTTTTTATATTGTTTAATTAAATTAATGCTATCCCTAATGTTTTGAAACATCCACACCATGTCTCTTGAAATCTCACTGAAAAGGTGAGATCTTATCTTAGTTTAATAAGTCCATTTTTAGTCAGGGCCACAAACAATATATTCAGTACCAGTTTTGCTCATCAAAGAGTTCAATAATCAAAACTCTTTACATCTCAGGGTTATTAATCAATTCCATTTAAATAATCCAGACAGTTTCCACACAACAAAAGTCACTTTACTTTACTTAAAACTCTTCCTTATCATAATAGTAAATTAATTAATTATAGGGCAGTTAGTATCACACCAATCCTTCAAAAAGATGTTACTTGTTTCTTCTGTCAAAATTTTCCTAGATTTGTAGAGGTGTAGAATATTCCATTCACCAGTAGATGGCAGCATCAACAGAGGTTTCAGCATTGTTTCAAATGTGGTAAATTAAAATCCAAATGAAATTCAATTTATAGAGAAGAATTAAATATTCAAATCAATTCAGGTACAAAGTTCCAACATATTATAATGCCTTTCTATAACAACGCCTACCCAATTTAAAATCCAATTTTCTTTGATTAAAAAATCTTTAGCTTTTCTCCCCTTAGTACCTTTCATTCCGGTCTAGGATTTTTCTCTCTATGGTTGTTCACCGCTTTAAAAAAGATAATTCCAAGAGTCTCTTTTCTTCTCTGGATTTTCTTCTTTTTTCTTTTAAGTTTAGGAACTAAATGCAAAAAAAAAAAAAAAAAGAATCTTCTCACCCAGCTCTAATCACTGTTCACTAACTCCACTCCAGCTCCAGTCTTAGATGTTGCTTGGCTGCTCCAGATTCGTGGCAGTCATGTTTTGGCTGCCACTTCTCCTCATTGTGGCTGAGAGGGAAAGAAAAACCGTGGGTCAGGCAGTTGCGACTCTCGGTGACCTTGCAGGGTACCCTCTTTGCTTCATCTCCTTTACTGGGAGGCTTTGGCTCCTTTCGGAGCCCACCAACGGGGAGAATTGGCATGGGAGCACAGAGACCCACCCCTCAAGTCCGACCCCGCCGCGACATCAGTTGGAAGTTAATAGTTAAATTAATAGTTTTTATTGCAGTTCTGTGCCTAAGGTGTATCAGCACATCCTTTCTTTGGTGTTTGCTGTCAAGGAGATCAATAGGAACCCTGAGCTCTTACTGAACGTCACATTGGGTTTCCACATTGTGAACAATTACTTCCCTGCAAAGATAACTTATAAGGCAACCTTGAGCTTACTTTCTACACAGCAGAAGTTTGTTCCCAACTTTACCTGTGATTTAAAGAAAACATTTATTGCTGCCATTGGAGGATGTTTGACAGAGAATTCATTCAACATGGCCACAATTCTTGCCAACTACAAGATTCCACAGGTAGATCCTTGAGATGGCTCATTAGAAATGCCAACTTTCTTTAACATCTTCTTTTCTTAAAGCACCTTTAGAATTCTTTAAAGAATTGATTTTCATAGGGCAAAATCTAAGAGAATACTGTATTACACATTTAATTAACATAAATATAACTGCACGAATGATTAAATATTTAGAAACTAAGGACTCTTCGCAATTTCTCCTAAATATTGAAATTAGCAAACTCCTGTTGTCATTGAGTTTCAAAGTGGTTGGACCACTACATGTTGCTTGACTCCCTTCAGGCAGTCAAACTAGAACATTTTTTCAGATCATATATGCCTGGCTTTTGATATTATGCTATGTTTTAAGGGTTTTCACAATCTGTTAAAATGGTCACAGAAACACATAAGAAAACCTTTTAACTGACATACTATTGCAATGTATATGAACTGAAATGTATAATTTCACCAACACTTCAGTGCTGACTCTGCCTTAGTTAAAATGAATCCCATTTCATATTCTTAAATAATTATTCTGATTATTTGGTGTATATTGCCTTTCAGCTTGCCTACGGAACATTTACTCAAGTAAATAGAGACAAAAATGTATTTCCATCCTTGTACCAGATGGTCCCGAATGAAATGCATCAATACACTGGGGTTATTCGATTACTTAAGCATTTTGGATGGAATTGGATTGGGATCCTGGCTGTGGATGATGACTATGGGGACCTGTTTTTGCAGAAAATTGAACCGCTGCTTTCCCAAAATAATATCTGTTATGCTTTTGTTCTTAGAACACCACAGAAAGCATATATAGATGAATATATACACTTGATTGCAACGGAGTTAAGATATGATCAACTCTTTACAGATGATAAAGTCAAAGTGTGTTTTATCTATGCCCTAACTCCAGCCATGGAAAATCTGAGAAATATTATCTTTTTAGCATCTTTGACTTCACTGAAACCTTTGGGTAAAGTGTGGATTATTACAGCCCATTGGAATTTTGAATCACTGTCCATATATAGATTTTGGGACATACAGAGTTTCTATGGTGCTCTATCATTCACAATACGCTCAAAAGAGCCCCCTGGATTCCAAGAATTTCTTCACAGTTTAAGGCCATATTGGGCAAAAGAAGACAATTTTATTCAGAATTTTTGGGAGCAGGTGTTTGACTGCCCATTACACCCTTCTAGTTTAAATGAAAATAGCAACCTATTATGCACTGGGGATGAGAACTTAGAAAATCTGCCAAGTATATTATTTGAAATGAGAATGAGTGGTCACAGTTACAACATTTATAACGCAGTGTTTGTTATGGCACATTCTTTGCATGCATTACTCAAGTCCAGATCCAGACGTAGAAATGCAATAGGAACAGAACAAGTAATATTTCAGAATTTAAAACCATGGCAGGTATTTTATTTTGTTTCTAACACACTAAAATTGTTTGTTTAATTGCATTGTGTAGCAATACTAGTAATGATGTTACATAGCACCCTTATACCAATGAATTCTGTTAAATAAAAAAATACAAATTGGGAAACAATATAACTATTAATTTGAGAGATTATCTTTGGTTTAAGAGAAAGTGTTTTTCTATTCTACATTTTTGTGTTAAATTTATGTTTATGATCAAAGAAAGTAGAAAGACTAGTATAGATCTATTTCAAGCTATTTAGCTCTTGTTAGCTAGCTTTAACTTTTCTGGGATTCGAACCTGGGCTGCTTATATATTATGTAGATGTATTGAGGTCTAAGCCACAGGGTCTCCTTACTTTGCTCGCTATCCCAGGTGAGAGATGAAGTGTTTTTTATCAGGGCAACCTGGTCTACCCAAATTCAAGGTTTGAATTCCAGAAAGGTATGGCTATCTGACAAAATCTAAATAGCTTGAAATAGATCTATACCAGTCTCCCTTTATTTCTTTGTTGGTAAACATAGATTTAGCACAAAAATAGTTTGTCATGAAAGCAACTGCCTGCAAAGGCTCCTGGATTGGGTTGAAAGGCGAAAGTGGAAGCAGTATGCTCTGTGCCATATTTAGGTAGACCAGGTTGCTGTTATAAAAAAGACTTCTATTCTACAGAATTTACTGTCTTTTTCCAGACAGTAAATTCTGTAGAATAGACAGTATTGTTGTTTTCCCTAATAGCTATGGTTTTAAATGTTAATTTGTTTTGGATTCTATAGAAAACATGCCAAACTATGAAGTAATGTTGTTGAAGTGGGAACCAATAATATATTAAGCTTTATTTTTGTTATTTGGAGGTTTAGAATGCAGTAAAGGTAATACCATGCCTTCTAAAGTTTGGGTGCTAAAGTTCTAAAATTCAGGTTAGGTTATTAAATGTAGATGATCCATCTATGTCAATGAAGATTGGCTACTTTGTCATGGTATTTGAGAAGCACTATTTGAATAATCATTGTGAAGTGCATTCAGATTCTATGCAACCAAAAAATCTGCATATTTTATAATTAAGCCTATCTAAGATCGGCTGGTGACCTTAGACCAGTCATTCTCTCTCAGTCCTAGAAAGAGGGGGCCGCGGTGGCTCATGTGGTAAGACACTGAACTTGCACTCTGCTGAGGTCAGCAGCTTGATAGCTCAATTCCCGTGAGCGATTAAACTATGTAGAGACAGGAAAGAAGCCTCCCCTGATTGCATACTGGCATTCAGGCATCCTGCGGACAAGATAACACCGCCCGAAAAAAAGACAGTGATCCCTGCCTTTCAGAAAGGCAGCCAGCCACTTTAGTGATCCCTGGCTGACACGTGCCGTAGGTAATTTTTTTTTTTTTTAAAGTGCAAGGGCAAACCAATTCTGGACAACTTGCCTAAAACACTGCAGACTGTTGTTCAGACAACAGTCAACAATGATTTGAAGACACCCATAATCCTCATTTTCATTTTTCAAAGCAGGATAGTTCAGTTTGAAATAATTTTATGTGATTGTGATTTTTTTTTTTTAAATTTGATTTATATGCCACCCTTCTCCGGAGACTCAGGGCGGCTTACAATGCGTTAAGCAATAGCCTTCATACTTTTGTATATTTATACAAAGTCAGCTTATTGCCCCCACAAACTGGGTCCTCATTTCACCTACCTTAGAGAGGATGGAAGGCTGAGTCAACCTTGAGCCTTGGAGAGATTCGAACCAGCAGTAAATTGCAGGCAGCTGTGTTAATAACAGGGTGCGTAGACCACTGTACTATCAAGGCTCCTTGATTTCAAAGTCTTGCTGTTAATTTCTTTCTTTTTTTAAAAAAAACAGTTTCATTCTTTCTTGAAAAGCATCGTATTCAACAACAGTATGGGAGACACTATTACATTTGATGAAAACAGAGAACTGATTATGGGTTATGATGTTGTAAATTGGATTACTTTTCCAAATAATTCCTTTTCTCGAATCAAGGTTGGAACATTGGAACCTCGAGCTCCACCAGGCAGAGAATTAACTCTTAATGACAATCAAATTGTATGGCACAGGAGCTTTAATCAGGTGAGAAGAAGCTGTAGATTCTCAACTATAACAAAAGTACTCTTTCAAGCAATTGTCAAATACATGGCAGTAATTGAAGAAAGTGATTTTTTTGGTCTTTTGGAGCTTTTCTTTTTGAAAAAACTTTAAAAAAAATCTATTCAAAGAAAGTTAAAATACAAGACTCCAAAAATGTTTTTAAAGAAACAATAAAAAAAAAGAAAAAGAAAAACCAAACGACATTTTAAAATGCCTTGTTCAGCAGGGTTAAAATAAATTAGCATTCAACCAGTCAAATTTTAGAAATAAGAAGCAAAGAAAAACAGAAACTTAAGAAAGTGAAATTGAAACCTAGGCATGTTTAAGAAAATGAACTTCCAAAAGGAAAGATGGATGATCAATGACTTTCCAATCAATCCCACAGGAAAATGCAACCTTCAAGATTCCTCTTCTTAGGTGGGTTCATGATTGTCCGAAATACTAGTTGAGTTGTTCCGATGTGCTCCCATTATATCCAGGGAGCAACATTGCCAAAAAACCCAGCTTTGGCAGTAAAATCAGCAGATTGTCAGTTAGAGAGAATGAACAATCATGTGATTCTCTTTACAAAAATTTTAAAAATGATCACAAAATTGAATTTTTCAGAGTGTCCTAACTTCCAAGTGCAACAATTTATGACTGAAATTCTGCACCTCATTGTGGTTGTAAGTCAGGACCTACTTGTAGTACAGTATAACATTTTGATTTTAAACATTTTGGCTGCAAAAGAATCTGGATTGCATTTGCTCATGTGTAAAAAAAAAACACTAATGAATTCATTAGGACTAATCCAAACATTTGCCTGGATCCTATGAAAACATAATTTTCTGCCATTCAGGTCAACTCCCAGGACATCCAAAGAAGTCAGTGCCTATTACTTCCCATTAACTCCAGTTAGCTCATTTTTATTTTCTTCTGCTTCTTCATCCTGGTTGTGGGTTTCTTGTTTGAGAAAGCTATATTAATGCAGGTATTTTATTCTCTGATAATCTCATACCCATTACCTTTCAGGTGCTTCCTCTGTCTGTGTGCAATGACCACTGCTATCCAGGCTCCTGCAGAAAGAAGAAGGAAGGAGAGAAATTTTGCTGCTATGATTGTGTGCAATGTTCAGAAGGGCAGATCTCTGATGAAATAGGTAGAACAAACAGATGTGAGGACTTTGGCTAACTGACCAGCAAAAATCCAGTCCAATGTCTTGAATTATTTAAGGGTAACTATATGAACAACAGCAAAAACAATGAAAGACAAGAAAAAGACCCCCCCCCATAATATTCTCTTTTCCCTCATTCTTTTTCCCTCTATTTTGCTCTCTCAATTATCACCTTCTCATGCATGTAATTAAAATTTTAAATAAAAGTTTTTTATGATGACATATTATAGTGTAATCAGCAGCACATGCATGAATTTGTATGGAATTCATTCATATGCCAAGGCAACTAAATGAATTGAGCAATCTGGCGTGTATTTATCCTTCCACTGTTGAAGGATAAATGTCTCTAAGTAAAAAGAAAAGCATGTGGGATTGATTTTTACTGTTTCCATTTAATGAGTATGTAGTTCAAAAATATGTATAACTGAAAATGTTAAATTCTATCTCATGGTCAAATCAATACGAAGGACAAATTAATACATAAGATGTGAGAAAAGTATAATTCAGTGAAGCATTACTGGTGTAAAAATATAAAAGTAGTCTCCGAACCATTAAAACATTTAATTTGGGTGTTTTGATTGTTTCCATAATTTAGATAAAATAAGGTTCTCCAACTTTTTATTCCACCCATTACTTAAAATGCCATATGAAATTGATTTATTAGTATAAAGTATTTCTACAAAATTGTAATCAGCTTAGCTTACAAATGAACAGAGGGAAGAGGAAACAGTTTTATCTGCTTTTGTTTTTCTAACAACATGGTCTGTGCATAACACGGGATCTGCAGCTTAAATTTATGTTATGAGAATGATGTATGCTTTGGCAATAAAAAAAATAACCCAACCCCAACCCTATCATCTCTTCACAAAATAGATATCAATTGTTCTGTACATATTTTATACAGATAGAAACTTTGTTATATTGGGGAAAAAAATCTCCTTTTTTCTTTTTTCAGATATGGATGCCTGCATGAAATGTCCAGAAAACGAATATCCCAACAATATCCAAAATCAATGTATTCCCAAAGTGTTGGCCTATCTCTCTTATGACGAACCTTTAGGAATCCTCTTTGTTACTTTGGCTATTGTTTTCTCTTTGATTACAATCCTCGTGTTTGGACTATTTTGGAAGCATCGAGAGACTCCAATTGTCAAAGCCAACAACTGGAGCCTCACTTGTACCCTCCTTTTCTCCCTTCTATTCTGCTTCCTCTGCTCCTTCCTCTTCATGGGAAAACCTGAAAAGATGACCTGTCTTCTCCGACAAACAACTTTTGGCATTATCTTCTCAGTGGCCCTTTCGTCTATATTGGCAAAAACCATGACTGTGATTCTGGCATTTATGGTAACAAAACCAGGCTCTGGAATGAGGAAATGGGTAGGGAAAGGACTGGCCAATTCTATTGTCCTTTTGGGTTCCTTCATCCAGGTGGGAATTTGCACTGTTTGGCTGAGTACCTCTCCCCCTTTCCCAGATACAGACCTGCACTCACTGAAGGGAGAAATCATAATGGAATGTAATGAAGGCTCAGTGATCATGTTTTACTGTGTCCTGGGTTACATGGGTTTCCTTGCTAGTGTCAGCTTTAACATTGCTTTTCAAGCCAGAAAGCTTCCCAGCAGTTTCAATGAGGCCAAGTTTATCACTTTCAGCATGTTGGTCTTTTGCAGCGTTTGGCTGACGTTTGTTCCAACCTACCTGAGCACCAAAGGGAAATACATGGTAGCTGTGGAGATCTTCTCCATCTTATCCTCCAGTGCTGGTTTGCTGGGGTGTATATTTTTCCCCAAATGCTATATCATTTTACTGAGACCTGAGATGAACAAGAAGGAAAATTTAATAAGGAAAGAAATGTAATTTTTTTTTTTTTTTTTTTTTGGTATTTGGGTTCAATGTAACATTTTTAGATTATTTCTAAAGTGCTTTTTCTGGGATTTTTTTTTCTGCATTAATTTATTTTTAAGGAATCTAGGAAGATCGCCTGACTTTGTTATACCTTCATTCATATACAAATCTTGATATGGAAAAAAGACATTTTTAAAAAGAGATTTGTTTCAATATCAAAGAATGGATATGTCCTACCTAATTTGATTCGAATGATGATTAAATTTTTATTAACATATGTCCATAAATTTCCCAAATCTGAAAGAGTTGTCATATACAATGTGGAATTTTTCTGATTTGTGGATGGCCCTATTGGATATTGAAGAAAAAGTTTAATTTGGAGTATATTGGAGTTTTATATGATTTTCATACTGCTTCATTAATGGGATAGTTTATGGGCCTGGTTCCTTCTTAGGCTACATATTAATGGGAATATCCATGCCCTGATTGCTGTATAATATTCAAATTTTCAAATAAATTCTCGGTTAAATAATATGCTGCTTCAAAGTAGTCTCAACTACTTCTGTATATGCTTTGAGGTTTAAAATAATTATGAGTTTAAAAACCTACTGGCAGCATTCCAGAAAACGCCAACTCCGAGTAAAGACATGGAAGCAAACATTTTCCAAAGTTCTCTTTATTAGAATAAGTAAACTGACACATGTGTGGAAACCCAAATCTGAAAGGCCCGGGTTTTTTCTCAGTAAGTCAAAACCCCCAAAACTATCCCCTCACTCCCCAGTCGATCACATGCTCCAATCAATGTCCATCCCATCTCGACCCAGCCCCCTGACCACTCCTTCTCCAGATGCTGGATTGCCCTAACCTTGACCGACAGGAAGAATGTTATTATGTCTACTAACAACCCCTCTTCTTAATCCCCCCTCCTATTTTCCCACACATGAGAAGGTGGCAGCATTGAAGCTTCTGGCCTAATATGGCTTCCAAAGCTTGCAGGTGTCCCCCCCCTGCAGAAAGAACCACATCCTGAAAAATAAAGCAGACAAAACACAAAAGAAGGGATTAACACCTTGCACAGGACCCCTTAAACCGCCCCCCCCCGGGGAACCTTTCGGTTTCTCAGGAAATTTATTAGGAAATTGTTTCACTAGAGTATCAGCATTTACATCCCAACTTTTCACCCAAGTAGCTTCAGATAAAGGGTAAGCTTTCCAGTGTACCAAATATTGTAAGCGACCCCTGTAGAGTCTAGAGTCCATTTATTTATTTATTTTATTTATTTTGTCGCATTTCTATGCCACCCAACTCCCAAGGCACTCCGGGCAGCTTACAATAAAGAATAAAGCAATTCGAACAATCCCATAAAAAATGTTAAAAAGAAAAACATTAAAACATTAAAAATTTTAAAAATGTTAAAACACATGCACTCCAATTCATGGCCGATTCTTGCAAGATCATTATAATGAGATCAACGGCCCTAGGCCTGCCAGAAGAGCCAGGTCTTCACAGCTTTGCGGAAGGCCAATAGGGTGAGGGCGGTCCGGACCTCAGGATGTAATTGGTTCCAGAGAGCCAGGGCAGCCACAGAGAAGGCCCTCCCCCACGGGCCCGCCAGCCAACATTGTTTAGCTGATGGGACCCGGAGGAGACTGACTCTGTGTGATCTTACTGGTCGCTGGAAGCTATGTGGTAGAAGGCGGTCTCGAAGATAGCCTGGCCCTGATCCATATAGGGCTTTAAAGGTAATGATCAACACCTTGAATTGCATCCAGAGATAATAGGGAGCCAGTGCAGCTCACGGATAATTGGTGTAATGTGGGTGTATCTAGGCGCACCTACTATAACTCGCGCTGCCCCATTCAGGACCAACTGTAGTCTCCGAACACTTTTCAAGGGTAGCCCCATGTAGAACGCGTTGCAATAATCCAATCATGAGGTGACAAGGGCATGAGTGACTGTGGGGAGAGTTCCTGATCCAAATAGGGTCGCAATTGGTGCACTAGATGAACCTGTGCAAAAGTCCCCCTAGCTACAGCTGTCAGATATTGTTCCAGTCTCAGCTGTGAGTCTAGAAGGACACCCAAATTGCGAGCCCATTCTGAGGGGGGCACTTTCTCACCCCCTAGAACCAAGGATGGACAATTGACATAGTCTTTAGGGGGCAATACCCAGAGCCATTCGGTCTTGTCTGGGTTAAGTCTGAGCCTGTTGACTCCCATCCAGATCCTCACAGCCTCCAGGCACTGGCACATCACATCTACTGCCTCACTGAACTGACGAGGGGTGGAGATATACAGCTGGGTATCATCAGCATATTGCTGATATCCCACTCTGTGTCGTCGTATCATTTCACCCAGTAGTTTCATGTAGATGTTAAATAGGAGGGGAGAGAGGACTGAGCCCTGAGGCAACCTGCAGATGAGGGGCCTAGGGGTCAACCTCTGTCCTCCTACCAGCACCGACTGTGATCAACCAGAGAGATAGGAGGTGAACCACCGCAACACAGTGCCTCCCACTCCTAGCTCCTTAGTCGCCCCAGAAGGATACCATGGTCAATGGTATCGAAAGCCGCTGAGAACTCAAGTAGCACCAAGATAGAGGAATGACACCTGTCATTCCAGTCCAGGATCTTCTTCACTTCATAATGAGTTCCACTTTGCACTTCCAAAGGAGGGCGTGGAGCAGCTGGCAAGGATCTTAAGTTAGATTCTCTGGCTGGTTTCAATAAGCTACTGTGGAAAACGGGGTGTACTTTCCCTAATATGCAAGGGAGGCTAAGTTGGACAGACACTGGGTTAATCACTTTCACTATAGGGAAGGAATCTATGAATTTGGGTCCAAACTTCTTGCTAGGTAATCTCAATCTTAGGTACTTGGTTGACAAATACACCTTATCGCCTATTCGGAAAGGTGGTTGGAGGGACCGGCGTTTGTCGGCCTGGGCCTTATATTTTTCTGCTGATTCCGCTAAAGCTTTCTTAGTATTCTCCCAACCGTTTTTCTTTTTTCTTTTTTTTTATTGCAAAAGTTTTATAATTACATTTTCACCCCATTTCCCCCCCCAACCCACCCCAAACTCCCCAACCTAACCCACCCAAACCCCCCTAACCCTCCCTCCCTGACTTCCACAGAATATAATCCCATCAAGATCCCCTTTTTATAAAACCTGAACCCCTCAATCCCCCATATAATTTTTCATCTTCACAAAATTCAAATATTTCTATTTTTTATATAATACTTTCAATAAAAAGCTATTTGATACTTCCTAGTTTGATATTTGTTCTGCACATAATCTATCCACTTTTTCCATTCCCATTCATAAGTCTCTTGTGAACGATCTTTTAGATATGCTGAAATCTTCGCCATCTCTGCAAAACTGGCCATCTTCAAAGTCCATTCTTCAATAGTGGGCAAAGCTTCATTTTTCCAGTATTTACCTATCAATAATCTCGCTGCTGTTATCATATACAATATCAACTTAGTTTCATCCAATGTAAAACCCTTAATTATACCCAATAAAAACAATTGTGGAGAAAATTGAATTTTTTTCTTCAAAACATTCTGCATAACCCACCATATTTTTATCCAAAAGGCCTTAACTTTCTTACAGGTCCACCAAACATGATAATATGTAGCATCTAAACAATCACATCTCCAACATTTTGGCTGAACATTAGGGTACATACACGACAATTTCTTAGGATTTAGATGCCATCTATAAAACATTTTATAAAAATTTTCCCTCAAATTCTGCGATTGTGTAAATTTAACATTCTTAACCCATATTTTTTCCCATGTTTCCAGCATCACTGGTTCTGCAAAATTTTGTGCCCACTTGATCATGCAATCTTTAACCAATTCAGTTTCTGAATCCCTTTCTAACAAAACATTGTATAGCCTTTTAATATGCATTGGACCTTTCTCTTTTATATGTCTAACCAATTCTTCCTCATGCAACATAATACCAATTTTTTGGTCCTCTTTCCATCTCAGTTGAACTTGATTATACTGTAACCAAGTTAAATTAATCCCTTCGTCTAGCAGTGTCTCTAATGTCTTCAGTTGCAATCTGCCCGCATCTGTAAAAAGAACTTCTTTATATAACCCCCCCCGAGTGACATTATATTTGCATTCCACATGATATGACCAAGATCCAGCCATAGCGGTATTTTATAATCCCATTTGAGTCGGTGCTTCTTCCAAACTCTCATCAAGGAATCTCTAAGTATATGGCTCTTGAATACTTTATCCACTTTGTTTTCATAAAATAAGTAAGCATGCCATCCAAATTCAAGATCAAAACTTTCTATATTCAATATTCCAGTCTTTTTCCTTCCAAACCAATCGCTTGCTTGAGTCAAAGCTGCTGCTTCATAATATAACTGTAGGTTTGGAAGTTTAAGACCTCCCCTTTCTGGAACAACTTGCATAATTTTCAATTTCACTCTCGGTTTTTTCTCGTTCCAGACAAACTTATTCACTCCGCTTTGCCATTCTTTCAGTTGTTTATCACTTTTAAGCACTGGAATCATTTGAAACAAAAAAAGAAATCTTGGCAAAATATTCATCTTAACTGCTGCTATTCTTCCAAATAAAGACAGCTGCAGTTTTTTCCAAGTCTCCATATCTTTCTGTATATCTCGCCACAACACGTCATAATTATTTTGAAACAGTTTCATATTTGATTCTGCAACCTGAACTCCTAGATATTTAACCTTAGGTACAATCTCAAAACCTGCCCTTCTTTCAAGTTCGTGTTTTCGATCTTGTGTCATATTTTTAACTATCATCTTAGTTTTTTTCTGGTTCAATCTAAATCCTGATACTGTGCCATAGTCTTTTATAATGTCTTTCATCTGGATTATTGATTCCATCGGCTGTGTTAGGGTAACAACCAGATCATCTGCGAATGCCCTTATTCTGTAATCCTCTTGCCTTATCACTATACCTTTCAAGATATTCGAGTCCCGTATTGTATTCAACAAGACTTCTAGTGTTAAAATAAATAACAATGGGGATAACGGACAACCTTGTCTCGTTCCTTTTTCAATATTAAATTCTGTTGTCAAACTTCCATTAATAATAATCTGTGCCTTTTGCTCTTGGTAAATTGCTGAAACCGCTTGTATAAATTGATCCCCAAAATCCAACTTTTTTAAAGTCTTTAATAGAAAATTCCAATCCACTCTATCAAAGGCCTTCTCCGCATCCAAGAAAACCAGCACTGCAGGGATCTGTTTATTCTTCTCAAGATATTCCAATAAATCTATAACTTGCCTTACATTGTCCTTCATATATCTACCCTCTATAAATCCCGCTTGATCATCGTGAATCACCTCTTGAATTACTGGCATCAATCTGTTGGCTAGTACTTTTGCATAAATTTTATAATCATTATTCAAAAGAGATATTGGTCTATAGTTCTCCGGTTTTTTAGGACCTACTTGCTCTTTTGGTATCAAAGAAATATAAGCTGTTTTCCATGATGAGGGTACATTTTACCCCCTTGTTGTATATTACAAAATAAGTCTCTGAGTTGTTCCACCATTTCTGCTTGCAAAGTTTTACTGCAGTCAAGCCATCCGTTCCAGGAGCTTTAGCTGTTTTCAATTGTTTAATTGCTGCAATTATCTCCTCAACTGTTATAGGAT